AAAATATTTTTAACATTAGTTTTTCTGCTATAGTATCCAAAATGAACTTGGTGGAAAATACCAAGGAATGGTGGGTGAACACAGGGGCCAGTAGACACATATGTTCGGATAAGACATGTTTTCTTCATATGAAGCAATTGATGATGGAGAACAACTCTTCATGAAAAATTTCTCCACTTCCAAAGTTGAAGGCAAAGGAAATATTATATTGAAGATGACTTCTGGAAAAAAACGTACTCTCAATGATGTATTATATGTTCCAGAAATTCAAAAGAATCTTGTGTCTGGATCATTGTTGAGTAAGAAGGGTTTTAGGTTGATTTTTGAGTCCGACAAATTTATACTCACCAAGAGTGAAATTTATGTGAGCAAGGGATATATGAGCGATGTGCTCTTTAAGATGAATGTAATAACAATTGTATATGATTTTAATAATAAAAATACATCTTCTGCTTATATGCTTGAGTCTTCCAATGTATGGCATGGTAGATTAGGACATGTTAATTTTGATACTTTGTGTAAATTAATGAATTTAGAATTGTTGCCTAAATTCAATATTGATGTAAGTCATAAATGTGAGACATGTGCTGAATCAAAATTAACTAGAACGTTATTTCATAATATTGAAAGAAGTACTGAACCTCTAGAGTTAATTTATAGTGATGCATGTGATTTGAAATATATTCAAACTAGAGGTGAAAAAAAATATTTTGTTATATTTATTGATGATTGTACAAGATATTGCTACATATATTTTCTAAGGAGTAAAGATGAAGCACTAGAAAAATTTATGTATTATAAAAATGAGGTTGAGAATCAACTAAGCAAAAAGATTAAGGTAATGAGAAGTGATCGAGGTGGTGAATATGACACTCCTTTAAATCGTTGTTGTCAAGACCATGGTAATATTCACCAAACTTCTGCGCCTTATACACCCCAGTAAAATGGAGTTGTTGAACGTAAAAATAGAACATTGAAAAAAATGATGAGTGCCATGTTGATTAGTTTAGGATTACCTCAGAACTTGTTGGGGGGGGGGGGAGCTTTACTTTCAACAAATTATATTTTAAATAGACTACCCCACAAGAAGTTAGACTAAACCCTTTATGAATTATGAAAAGGTCGGAGTCCTTCCTACAAAAATTTAAAAGTGTGAGAGTATTTGGCTAAGGCGATGGTTCATATTCCCAAAAAGATTAAAATAGAACCTAAGCCTATTGATTGTATATTTATTGTTTATGCAATAAATAGCAGTGCATATCATTTTTATCATGCGTAAATTTGATATTCCTGATATACACGTCAATATAATCATTGAGTCAAGAAATGCATCATTCTTTGAAAATATATTTCCTAATAAAAATGCATGTGATGAGAGTTCTTTTAAAAGAACTCATGATACTGTGACTAGTAATATAGACCATGAGTCTATAGATAAAGAAAACGAAGAGGCACTTAGGCGCAGTAAGAGGGCAAGGACTTCCAAGTCCTATGGTCCAGATTTTCTAACATATTTGCTAGAAAATGAGCCTTAAATCTTCAATGAAGCGATGTCCACTCCTAAAGCACCTATGTGGAAAGAAGTTGTAAATAGTGAAATTGAATTCATTATGCAAAATCACACCTAGGAGTTGGTTGATCTTCCTCCAGGGGGTAAACCATTAGGGTGTAAATAGATTTTCAAGAGGAAAACAAAAATTGATGGATCAATTGATAAGTATAAGGCTAGAATTGTAGCTAAATGTTACAAACAAAAGGAAGGTTTTGATTACTTTGATACATATTCTCCTGTCACGAGAATAACATCTATTTGTATGTTCATAGCTATTGCAGCGTTGCATAATCTTGAGATACATCAAATGAATGTGAAAATAACTTTCCTAAATGGTGACTTAAATAAGAAAATTTATATGGACCAACTTGAATGGTTCATTTCTTCAAGACAAGAGAAACAGTGGATGACAAGTGGTGGCTAGGTGGTGATATTAGTAATGGTGGGTGGTAGCGATTGACAGGTAACGGTGGGTAATGGTTGGTGGACATCAGCATGTGGTAGATGAAGATGGTTGGCGGCGATAGTGATTTATGGTGATGATGGGTGAAGGTGGTGGCGGCTAATGGGTGTTAATGGGTGGGGGTGAGGGTGGTGGGTAGGGGTTAGTATAGGCAGGTGTTGGTGGTGGGGGTGGCGATGGGTGGGGGTGGTTGGTGATAGGTTGTGGTGGTGGTGGCAATGGGTGTTGGTAGTGGGTGGTGGCAATGGGTCGTAGTTAGCGACGATGATGGGTGGTGGCGGTTGGCAAGTGACGGTGGACAGTAAGTGGTGGTTGGTGGATGGTAGAGGGTGGCAGTGGTAGGTGGTGGTTTATAACGATGGTGGGTGTTAGTGGATGGTGATTAGTTGCGATGGGTGGTGGTGGGTGTTAGTGGATGGGGGTGGTGGTGATGGTAGTAGTGGGGAGGTGGTGTTTGGCGGTTGGTGGTGGGAGAGGGTGGNCTCATGATACTGTGACTAGTAATATAGACCATGAGTCTATAGATAAAGAAAACGAAGAGGCACTTAGGCGCAGTAAGAGGGCAAGGACTTCCAAGTCCTATGGTCCAGATTTTCTAACATATTTGCTAGAAAATGAGCCTTAAATCTTCAATGAAGCGATGTCCACTCCTAAAGCACCTATGTGGAAAGAAGTTGTAAATAGTGAAATTGAATTCATTATGCAAAATCACACCTAGGAGTTGGTTGATCTTCCTCCAGGGGGTAAACCATTAGGGTGTAAATAGATTTTCAAGAGGAAAACAAAAATTGATGGATCAATTGATAAGTATAAGGCTAGAATTGTAGCTAAATGTTACAAACAAAAGGAAGGTTTTGATTACTTTGATACATATTCTCCTGTCACGAGAATAACATCTATTTGTATGTTCATAGCTATTGCAGCGTTGCATAATCTTGAGATACATCAAATGAATGTGAAAATAACTTTCCTAAATGGTGACTTAAATAAGAAAATTTATATGGACCAACTTGAATGGTTCATTTCTTCAAGACAAGAGAAACAGTGGATGACAAGTGGTGGCTAGGTGGTGATATTAGTAATGGTGGGTGGTAGCGATTGACAGGTAACGGTGGGTAATGGTTGGTGGACATCAGCATGTGGTAGATGAAGATGGTTGGCGGCGATAGTGATTTATGGTGATGATGGGTGAAGGTGGTGGCGGCTAATGGGTGTTAATGGGTGGGGGTGAGGGTGGTGGGTAGGGGTTAGTATAGGCAGGTGTTGGTGGTGGGGGTGGCGATGGGTGGGGGTGGTTGGTGATAGGTTGTGGTGGTGGTGGCAATGGGTGTTGGTAGTGGGTGGTGGCAATGGGTCGTAGTTAGCGACGATGATGGGTGGTGGCGGTTGGCAAGTGACGGTGGACAGTAAGTGGTGGTTGGTGGATGGTAGAGGGTGGCAGTGGTAGGTGGTGGTTTATAACGATGGTGGGTGTTAGTGGATGGTGATTAGTTGCGATGGGTGGTGGTGGGTGTTAGTGGATGGGGGTGGTGGTGATGGTAGTAGTGGGGAGGTGGTGTTTGGCGGTTGGTGGTGGGAGAGGGTGGCAGGTCATGGTGGTGGTGATGAATGGTGGCGATGGTGGTCGTGTTGAGATGATAATGGTTGTGGTAATAAATGATAATGCACAAATTGGGTTTGTACACCACCTGTCAAATAAGTAGTAATAAATGCAGTAATTAATAAGTAAGAGATAGTGACAAAAACAAGACAAGGTTTATAGTGGTTTGGTCAACGTGACCTACATCCACTTGGAATAGCTAGGGTCGCCAGGGGTATTTTATTACTTCAAGTGTGTAGGGATCGCAAGAGCTACAAGCCTAGAGAGATAAGAGAAAATTGTGTTTGACTAAATGTGATGCCCCCCCCCAGTGTTGGCAGGGCTTTATAATTTATAGTCGCCCCATAACAGATTGGGGTGAGTTATTAGTAACTAAGTGGCTATTATGGTGGAGTTGGTGATTTCTTCTCAACGGGCGAGGCTGTTACGGTGCTCTCCATAAGATTCGGTCAAAGGACGAGGTTGGTGTTGACTTTTTTTCAAGGCGGCGAGGACGAGGCTCTTGGATGATCCTACATGCTCCCTTGTTGATGTAGCTCTTCAAACCCTGATGAGCTTGACTGGGCATGGACCACTTTGGGCTGGGCTTTCTGGATCTCTCTTAAGTCGGGCTCATGCTTTAAACTGGGCCTACATTGTGAGTTAGACCCTTAGGCTGGGCCCATCATTTGCTCCCCAATGCCCTATGTCCAATGGAACTTGGAGAGGAAGACATTTGATTGAGTTTGAATTTCAGCTGAACACATAAGTGGAAAAACTTCGGGAGGCCAAAACATATGTTTCTAGGCCTTTTTTGGGCTTTTAATAGCGTCTTTCACCTCTAAAGGCGATGAGATGTGTAGGGCTCGCTGAGAGCTTTGATTTGACATATTATGGACCCCATTTGGAGCTACGGATTAAATGTTACGATCAAAATAGCGATCAAGCCTTCTTGAACTTAGATTTCTTGGAAACTCCTTTTGATTGGCGACTCCTTTCCTTTCTGTAGATTCTTTTTGCTTGTAGGACATCATAAGCTATATAAACTCCTTCTTTTACTTCCCTTTTTGGATTCTTGAAGAGCCCTAGGTTGTGAATTGGGTCATTTTGCTTTTGTCCTTTCCTTAATAGGATTTTTAAAAACCCTAGGCTATAAATAAGGAGTTTCTTCTTCACTCCACATATTCCATATAATTTTGGGAGAGAGGAAGAAAGTCTTTTCTTAAAATACTTGAGAACCCAAAGCCAGAGATTTTGCTCTTCGGATGAGTTCTCAGAAATCCATGTCCAACGAAGAAGAAGATGTACATAGGACCCCCGATCTCGGAGAGGAGCTTGGGTCAATCGATTTTAGGGAGAGATCCTAAACGAGCATCTACATTGGTGAAGGGCGAAAGAGCAAGGAAATGCGATATGGTGAATTAGTTGGGCGAGACGAAGGGGAGCAAGCTGGGGTGCCTTCTGCGCTAGGAGCACTGGGCAAGCTTCTCTTGGTGCCAAGCAGTATGGGCAAGCCCCCCTTGGCGCTGGGCAGTTCGGACGAGCCTTCTTTGGTGCCGGGTAAGGTACCCTTACGACTAGGCGTGCCTCCCTTGGCATTGGGCCCCTCGGTTGAGACTGTTGTTTGACATGGTAGGAGCACACTGAGGCCAGTTGGGCGAGGACCAGTGAGCACTGAGGTGGACTCATAAGTCAATAGGCATGGTTAAGCGAATGCAGTAATGCATAGTTGACACCAAGCAACTTAGGCTTGGTGGCAGAGGGTGGGTACGAAGCTAACGAGCCTGGTTTTGGAGTCAAGAGGTAGAGTACGTTGGGCACTTTTGGTGGTGATGATTTGGTTCCTTCAAGTGTAGCTTCTCAAATTTTGATTCCTGAAGACCTCCCTGGTAATGGCTCGGGCAATACTTCACGCCCTCGCAACAAAAAGCACCGAGCAAAGGTAGCTCTTGACGATGATAGATCCAAAGTGAGTACTATTTCTAGCACTTTTAATAGGATGCTGATATCTTGCAAATTGTCTCAGCTTATCACATTCCCCCTACCGTACTATGCCGTCGAGCTAAGATAGGTGAGCCTGCTTGTGAGGACTTGTCTGGAGATATCGCTATATATGAGGAGATGCTTATGGCTGGGCTTAGGTTCCCGATGCCTTCTTCTATTGTCGTATTCTGCATTATTTTTCATTGGCACTAAGGCAGTTGGCCCCCAATGGTTGGAGAGTTTTGCTGGGTTTTTTGGTATTGTGGAGAAAGGCACATTATGAGGATGCCTTTCCTGGCGAGCTTCACGCAACTTACATTTTGAGTGAGACTCCTGCTCCTAACCAAGGCTACTACCAGAGGGGGCAAGTTGATTACCGGATTGCCCTCTAACTGTCATAGTTGGGGAAGTCTTGTTTCATGTTCGTTAGCGGATGGGCTTCGAATGCTGATAGAGCTTTGGGATCAACAGAATGGGATGTTCCTAAGAAAGTTGGTATGCCTTATATACTTACCCTTCTTACACCACATTCCTTGTAGGCTGTGTACTCATCGCATTCTTTGTAGGTTCTCTTATGCTTTTCAAGGACCAAGAGTGGAAGTTTCAGGCCGTGAGGGCTCATCTTGTAAAGGACTTTGGAGCTCTCATGCTCAAAGATAGTAGAGTTAGTGGTTCCCTTTTAGAAAGTGCTATGGCTGGAAGACCCTCTCCAAGATCCGATGGTTTTTCTTTGAAGAGAAAGGGTATGTTGATTCTCTTGTACTTTCCCCCTTTACTTGGTGTTTTTCATCTAGATAACACTTTACTTCTTTTGCAGTGGATATAACGGTGGTTGGGTCCTGCCTCTCTAGTAAGAGCACTCCTCCTCCTAAGCTGGCGAGGATGAGTGATGCCTCCCAAGTGACCTCCCTAGTGGTGCTACCTGAGGGGAGCTCCCCTCAAGTGACCTTTCCAGTGATGTCTTAGGTGGGCTCCCCTCAAAGGACCTCTTTAGTGGTGCCTCCTCGGTTAGCGATTCCTTCGGTTGTGAGTGCTACTCTAGATACTCCCTTGTCGATCACACCTTCTGCCCCCCGTTCGTCGACTCATCCTGTGGGAACTTCTATAGGGGCACCAATTTAGATTAGTCTCATGTTGAGTAAACCTCGAGTCATTAGGGAACGAGTTGGGAGATTTGTGTTTTCACCCGACGTTAATGAGATTAGTGTTATGGGCATCGAGGGAATTATCAATACATTGCAGGAAGGCCTGGCTGAGGTAAGGGTCTGTTGTTTCCCTTTCTTTAGTCCTTCCCTATGCATTTTTTCATTCCTTTATCTTTTGTATTTTTCAGGCTTCAACTGCATCTATATGCTTGCTTTCAAGGGCCCATTTTTATAGCCAACTGAAGCTTAGTCATGAGGTTGTAAAGAATGAGCTTCTTACTGCTCAGGGGAGGATTGTTGAGCTTGAAGCTACTGGAAGGGCCTCCTAGGCTGAGCTTGTTGCGACCCATGAGAGAGTCGTGCTTAGAGAGGCTGTCTTCTTAGGAGCGGAGGCAAAACTTTCGCGTCCCATGAGAGGGCGGCTAAGCTTGAGGCTGAGCATTTGGCGACTTATGAGAGGGACGTGCTAAGAGAGGTTGAGCTTGTGGAGACCTGTGAAAGGGCTGTGCTTAGAGAGGATGAGCTTGTGGAGACCCACAAGAGGGCCGCGCTTAGATAGGTTGCCTACTTGAGAGTGGAGGTAGAGGTGAAAGCAGCTCATGAGAGAGCTTCTCGAGATAAGGAGAAAGTTGTCATAGCTGAGAGTGATTTGAAAAATGGCTTTGCAAATGCCTTTATTGATGGTTATGAGGAGCTCCGAGGAAAGATTTTTGCTGCTTTCTCTGATATTGATGTTTCAGGCTTCCTGCCATCTGAGGTGCTTGATGATGGTGACGGAGAATCTGACAATGCTAAGGGTGATAAGGATGAGCAGAAAGAGGACCATGAGAGTAGTTAGCGTGCTGGGGACTTTTGATTTTTTTAAAAAAAGGCATTTTGTAGCCTTACTTTTGTAAAAGTGGATTTTTGCCACTGATGCTCCTTTGAATTTGAATACAAAAATACAAAGATCTTCTGGAGTAAATTTAGAAAGTTTTATTTATTCACTGCTTATGTCAAGCAATATTGGGTAATAAACCCAAAAAAGGTACAAAAAATAAAATCAAGCTCCCCAACTTTATTACTTTCACTCTCTTAAGGTGTTATTGGTAGTACCTTTTGAGGTGCTCGGCGTTCCACGGATGGGGTAAGACCTTCCCCTCGGAACTCTGTATCTTGTAGGTGTCTGGTCTCACCACTTCTGTTATGAGTTAGGGTCCTTCCTAGTTTGGTCCCAACTTTCCTTCTCGCGAATTCTTTGTGGCGAGAATCACCTTCTTAAGGACCAAGTCTCCTGGTTGGAAGGAACGAGGCTTCACCCTCAAGTTGTAGTATTTCGCCATGCGGCGCTTGTACTTTGCGTTGTAGACCACAACCATTTCCCTTACCTTTTCTACCAAGTTAAGGTTGATGTGAAGCCCTTCCTCGTTGGTGATGGGGTCGTGGTGTTGGATCCTTAGAGAATTTATCCCAATCTCCACAAGGATGATTGACTCAGTTCCAAAGGCGAGGGAGAATGGGGTTTCTATAGTTAGAGTTCTTGGCATGGTTTGGTAAGCCCATAATATGCTTGGGAGGTCTTTAACCCAAAGACCCTCTCCCTCTCTCAAGCCTTGTCTTTATGTTGCATAATACCGTTCTCACAATGAATTTTGCTTGTCCGTTTGCCTGGTGGGTGAGCTGGGCTAGAATAAGGTTGTTTTATCTAAAGGTCGGAGCAGAAGGAGTTGAGGAGCTTGTTGTCGAATTACTTAGCATTGTCACTGACAATGGCGTGGGGTATCCCTAAGTGGCAGACCAAGTTTTTCCAGATAAAGTCTTTAACCTTCATATCTGTTATCTTTGCCAGGGATTCAGCCTCTGCCCACTTTGTGAAGTAGTTTACTGTGATCTCTATGAACTTGCACTGTCCTCTACTTAGAGGTAGGGGGCCTAGGATGTCGATGTCCCATTTGGAAAAAGGCCACGGACTAGTGATGATTGTCAACTCCTCTGGTGGCTGCCTGGGCACAGTAGCGAAGTGCTGACACTTGTCACACTTCTTGGCGAACTCTTGGGCATCCCTCACCATGCTAGGCTAGAAGTAGCCTTCTCCGAGTGCCTTGTGGGAGAAGGAGCGTCCTCTAGAGTGATTCTCACAAACCTCTTCATGGATCTTCCACAGGGCATAATGAGCTTCTTCGGTTGAAAGGCACCACAGTAATGGCAAGGAGTAGCCTTTCTTGTACAAGGTGTCTTATAAGATGGTAAACTTGGAGGCTCTTATCCTGCGTTTTCTGGCTTCCAGGGGGTCATCTGGCAACACGCCCTCCTGAAGGTATGTCCTTATCAGGGTCATCCAGTTTGATTCAGTAGACACACATTTGATGTTTATGGCTTCCACGTCTAGCCTGCTTAGCTCGAACTGGTGACCAATGAATGTTGGTCCTTGTGGGGCTTTTAAGGATGAGGCATGTCTGGTGAGTGCATCTACGACCATGTTGTCCTCTCTTGGGATGTAACAGATTTGGAATTGGTGGAACTTAGTAAGCAAGGTTCACACCATAGCAAGGTACTCCTACATTCTGGCTCCTTTTGCCTCAAACTCACTCTTCACTTGGTTGACTATCAGCTAGGAATCAGTATGAGTAATAAAGTGTTGGGCTTCCATTTAAATTGTCAACCTTAGGTTAGAGTGGAGGGCTTCATATTTTGCCTAATTATTAAAGGCAATAAAGTGGAGCTTCACAACATACTTGATGGGAGTGCTGTCGGGGCTGATTATGATTAGGCCTACTCCACCCTCCTTCACTGATCGAGGAGCCATCCACATAGAGCTTCCAGAGTGGTAGAGAGGAGAGCTCGGAGGTCGTTGTGGGAGCCTGGGCGTCAGGTTGGGGTGCCTGGGCACCAGACTTAGGCGCCTAGGCTGAGCACCTGGTTTGGGTGCTTGGGAGTCTGGCCTAGATGTTCTGTTTGGGTGTCCTCACCGGGTGTTAGATTGCTTTGAGTGCCTGAGCTCGACGTCTGAAGTGTGGAAAGCTTGTTGCGCTCCTCCTCTGCTGGTGTGAGCTTTACACTAAAATCTGACAAGACTTGTGCTTTAATGGCCGCCATTGACTAGTACTGGATATCGAACTCGCCCAGTTCCACTACCTATTTAAGGAGTCTCCCGGACACGTCCAGCTTTCCAAGAACCTTCTTTAGAAGTTGGTCTATGACGACAACAATCCTGTGACTCTGAAAATAATATTGTAGATGCCTTACTGTTGAGATCAGGGCAAGTGCTAATTTTTTTAGCCCTGAATATCTGAATATCGAGGACGACCTTGATCTTCTCGGGGTTTGCCTCAATTCCCCTCTAGTTGACCATGAAGCCTAAGAAGTTTCCTGACCCTAAGCCAAAGGCGCACTTCTCAGGGTTCAACTTCATGCGATATGACCTAAGAATATTGAAAGTTTCTTGGAGGTGGTCAATGTGGTCTGCTGTAGCGAGGCTTTTCACTAGCATGTCGTCCACATATATCTCCATTGTTCTACCGATCTGAGACTGGAACATTTTGTTCACCAGTCGTTCATATGTTGCTCCTGC